GCGAGAGATGTCCAGAGACGACGTCAATCATGTGCTCGGCAGGGTTGACATGCTCTGGGCAAGGAGCTCCATAGCGACCAAAGTAGCCAGTAACCGTGTTGCCATGCTCACCAATGTCGCCAAAGTACACTGTCTTACCGCCCTTAGCCAGAAGAAGAAGGGTATCAAACTGAGAGAAGAGCTGGGCAGAGGGCTGGTGAATGGTGACGAGGATGGCTTGACCGTGGGCAGCCAGCTTGCGCAAGAAACGAACAGTGTTGTATGCAGATTGTCCGTCAAGACCAGAAGTAGGTTCGTCAAGGAAGATAAGGATGCTAGGCTTCGAGACCAGTTCGACACCAATAGTAACACGCTTGCGCTGTTCGACACTTAAACCGGCACCGACTTGGCCGATCAGGGTATCCGCAAGATCATGGAGTTCCAGAAGGTCAATGATGGTATCAACATACTTGAGCTTCTCCTCGCGAGGAGTGTCACGGCTTTGTCGGAGAAGGGCAGAGAACTCTAGAGCTTCGCGGACGGTAGCATAGGGTTCGTGGACGTCAAGCTGTTCACAGTAGCCTGCAGAGCGCTGGAAAGAAACCGGAAGCGGCCGACCATCAACCATGATAGAGCCCCGAATGGTACCCTCAGTCTTGCGTTGGGCCAGAACATCGAGAAGTGTAGTCTTTCCAGCACCAGAAGAGCCCATAAGAGCACCCAGCATGCCTGGCTTGACCCAGCCTTGAACGTTATCGAGAAGAGTGCGATCACCCTGAGGAGTCTTGACAGTGTAGCTGAGGTTCTTCCAGGTGAACACGGAGGTGTTGCGGACTAGACCCATACCCTCACCACTGTTGTCGGAGTCATCGCCAGATACAACACCACCATCACTGCTACCAATCATTTTCTTCTCACCCTTTGTCTGTCCCTCCTCATCAGACTGGCGGAGAACAGCAGTGATGTGGGCGTTCTCACGAGGAATGACCAGACTGGGTCCATCCTCGGAGGAGGCGTGCCACTTGGTGGTGAAGTAGATGGTGATGGCAACGAAGAGAGCCCACCAGGCCCAGATGATACCGAAGTTTCTCCAAAGATGGTCATGGCTGTACGAGAGAGATGCCAGGTAGTCATCGCCAGTAACAAAGTTCACTCCAGGCTTGGCTCCACCTACTCCAGAACAAGCCTGGTGATCGCCATTGGTGAAGCCAGCACCACTGGGCACGAGACTGTGCCCAACACAAGGGATGATCTTGTCATGAAACTCGTTGGACAGAAGGGCATCGAAGCCGTATGCCAAGGGGTTGATCCAAAAGAGCCAGACAAACCAATCGTGCATCAGAGGCTTGCTAATGAGATAGCCAGAGTACATGATTGTGGCGCTGATGAGAAAACCCGAAACCTTGGAGGCAGCATCGAAGGTGCTGAAAGCCGCACCGACAGCTCTGAAAAGGGCCGTGATACACTAATGATATGTGTTAGGACTGAAGAACCAGTAAGTTGGAGTGATACACTTACGATTGTGATTGAGACGAGAAGGACCCAGAAGGTGAAGAAGTGTCCGGCTGAGGCGGTAAGGCCAACCATGAAATACTCAACAACTGAAAAGGTGCTGACCTGCAACAGAATTACAGGTATATCAGCAGCAATCTGAGCGATACAGAAGGCAGCAGGGTGGTACATGGCAAAGGATTTGTGCTTGAGAAGAACAGGGCGTCCAGTGAAAGAGTCAGTGACCTCAGACATTGAGACCAGGGAGTTGCAGAGAAGAGCGATGAAGACAGCGCCTGATTTGATGAAAAGACCGCTCGAGTCATCAGAGGCATTGTAGAACAGAGAGCCAGCGATAAGAGCCTGTACGATCATGGAAAGCTGCTTGATCAAGAAGGTAGGCTTGTCACCGAGGACAATCTGGTACTGACGCTTCACACAAGCTTTGGCCTGTGAGATGAACCCGACTGTCATGGGGCTGCTGTCGGGAAGCTTCTTATCCTTCTGCTGACGGACACCCAGCTTGAACTGCTTGGTTCTTTCGTCGGCGATCGCAGAAGTAGGATAGTCGTACTCAGACTTCATGCGCTCGTAGGTGGGTGACTTTTCGTACTCTGCTCGGAGAGCATCGGCGGTTCGTGGGAAGCGGTTCTGGTGGTCGGGGTGGATCTGTCGCTCGGTTGGGACAGTGACACCGGTGAGGTAGTCTGCGACGTTGGCGCCGTGCTGGCAGATGAAGCCCATGCTCTCCATGAAGGGTTTGGCTTCTTTGAGGGGACCGTAGTAGACTTCCTTGCCTTCGTCGAGCACGAGGACCTTGTCGAAGAGATCGTAGATACCGTTGCCTGCTTGGTAGAGGGTGACGATGGAGGCGAGACCCATGACATCGGTCATGGCGCGGATGGCTTTGGTGTACTCGAGAGCACTGGTTCAAGTTAGATAAGCAGGTAACGGGTTACATTGTTATTACTTACGTGCTGGCATCGAGACCACGGGTTGAGTTGTCCCAGCAAAAGACTGAGCCCTGAGTTGCCAGAGTCTCGATGATGGAGACTCGCTTTCGCTCTCCTCCAGAGACTCCGCGAACGAATGCATCACCAACCTTGGTGTCGATAGTATGCTCGATACCCATGGACTTGAGCAAGAAGTCCCTTGACTGGAGTCTCAGCTCCTCGTGCGAGTTGACACCATTGGGGAGTTGGAAAGGGACTTTGAGCCGAGATGCAAAGTCCATGGTCTGACCAACAGTCAAAGCCGGGTAGAAGACCTCCTCCTCGGTGTTCATGACGATCTGGCCTCGATAAGTCTTGGCCTCCTCGGCAGTCATGGATCCATAGTGGACATCGCCCGTGATGGTGGCGTATCCTCGTCGTTTGTTGGCGATCATGTTGAGAAGCGTTGTGCAACCTGAGCCAGGACGGCCGAGAACAAGGAGCATCTCACCAGGCTTGACGCAGCCATGGCTGTTATCGAGGATGGTTTTGAGAGGTGACTTTTGGCGAGACTCTTTGATGAGCTTGGGGATGTTGTACTGTGACAAGACGTTCTCGTGGATAGCGGCATCAGCAGCAATGACATCGACAGTGAGGTTGGTCCAAGTGACACCAAGCTCTCTGTCGGGGAAGCCAGAAGCCTTGTCTCTCTCTTGGTACTCCACCACTTCAGACTTCATAGACCATTCGTTGTCATCATGAGAGTTTTCCTTCATGGGTGTCGGTTCATAGACCGTTCGCGAGTCGACACTGTCGGAGTCCATTTTGATGGTGTTGTTGTTTTGGTGGTGGACTGTATGTTAGCCCTGGCTAAAAGAGGATAGCCTTTACCGCCGAACTGCGCACCGAGATTTTGTCTTTGATATCGAACAAAACTCTAAAGAATAAATAATAATAGATTGAGTCTGTTACTGCATGTTTTTACAGGGAAAGTGGTTGCATGCTTCTTATAAAATAACAACACGTTTTTGACAGGCATCGGCTTTAGAGGACTGACGGGCTTTTTCGGCGTCCGACAGCAGCGCAGAATAAGACGCTCAACCAATGAAATAATTGGATCTGATCCCTTTCTTGACAAGCATTTTAGTACGAGCGGGTTCTTCGACCCACTTGGATCTGACGGAATTTGTTGATCTATGTACGGACCCTGATAAGAATGTTCTACGCTCGGTCGAATTTACCGCTTAGTCAATTCGGCCTTTTGTGATGTTGGGCCGTTTGTGGCTGCGCTGCAGCGTGCATAGTGCATTAGAGATACGGATAGTGGTGACTCAACCGCTAACCCCAGTACATACAGAAGGGAGATGGCTTCTGTTACAGGGGCTACCTATTCAAGCCACACTCAAGACTGGTTTCACATGCTTGTCAAACGCGATGCTCAGCAAACGTCACATCAGAAATGACAACAAAGATTGCAATTACAAATGATAGTCACAATAGCGGACAAATGATAGAGTGCGAAAAGACCGACTGCTAGCATACGCGGAGCACAGCCAGGTTCGCATTCGTCAAGATATGAGATGAGACGGACTGTAAAAAACTGCGACGAGCTCCGACTGAGCAAAAAGTAAAAACAATGACGCAAAAGATAACGAGCCGCATCCGAGTCGAGTCGGTCATTTTATAACCGTCTTTCCGACTCTGACCCCCTACACCTACAGGATCAGCTGCAATCATTTTTCAAGGGGTAATCGAGGACGCATCTGTCTATAAATTGAAAAGTATCTGCCGTCGATAAAAATGGGCCGGAAGAAGAGGAACTCTTGGTTCTTCCGCTTAGTCAACGTCTTCGGCAGATCAATCCATGTCTAGTCCGTGTTTAGACCGTGATCTTCACGTGGGATCCCGGTTCAAGGTTTGACACTTTGTCTGAAGTCGTTTAGCGCTGACCTCGTCCTCGTTTCTGCTTTGAGCTTCCTCCGCTTATTCAGCGGCCGTGTCGCATTCTTCTTCGACACCATCCTCCGAACCCTCCTCGGAGAGCCTCATGTTCCGCGTTTACGAATCTTTCGGTCGTGGACTTTTTTGCGAAAAGACCGTGACTTTGACACATTAGCCTCGTTTTGCCTCATATCTTGGCTTTTCAGCCCGAGGCTTACACTATTGTCGTTCACTGTTATTATTTTGTTCAAAACTTCCGGCCGTTGGTTTGCTTTGGTCCAGTTGTGGAACTGAGCCCAACGTCCAAGTTGGCAGACTCGATTTCGGCGAATTAACCCGCCTCCCTTCTTCCTCCAATCTAGTCTTATTACTTGCATGTCAGAGCTGAATAAGTAATCATGATGCAGAAACGGGCCTGTGATGCCTGTCATAAGAGAAAGGTGCGTATACGAGGCCCCATCTCCGTTCATTCCCGGGACCTCCGCTTCCCCTTCATCGATCAGTTCCACCCATTCCTTGGCGAGATTGATACTATCTATCCCATCCTGCATGCTTGTCTTTGTAAAGGTGTATCACATTCTTACCCAGTTGGCTCATTCTTCTAGATCCAATGCGATTCAACAAACCCAGATGCACCCTGCAACTGGTGTGAACACCATGGATTGGATTGTACATTTAACCGAGTGAGAGGGAGGAAAAAGACAGCTAAGGCTAGGTAGGTTCTGACCGTGGCGTCCAACCCCGTGGAGTAGTTCATTTTAACTCGTCTATTAGATCTCGTCAAACGTCAGACCAAAGCCTGGCAGAGCGCCTCAAGCGTATTGAGGACGCTCTCTCTCATACACTTTCTAATCATAAGAACTCAGAAACCAATGCAGCCAAACCATTGACTCCAAGCTCACAAGCCACTGACCCCCACAAGAGTTCAGACCCTGGTACTGGAGACTCGGCCAACGATACCCCTCAAAAATCGTCTCTCAGTCGGCCATCTTCTTCCTTTTTGAGAGCCACAGATTCGAGATCTGCAAGCGTATCCCAGGCCCCATCTCCTGCTGGTGGCTTCACCAGCTCTGTTTCCTATGGGCAACTCCATTATGGTGGCTGTCACTTTGGCCACATCAGTCAGCATAATGGACTACCTTTACTTTCAGAAGAGGGAAGACAGTGGATAATTTCAAAGACTGGCCATGAAGTTGTTCTCAATCCTGGTGCCACAGATCACACCAACCCTTCTCAATCGCCTGCACCTCACGTTTACCATGACCAACGCGCCTTATACCAACTTCCGGACAGAAGTATCACTGAGAAGGCTTTCGACGCTTTTATCCATTCCTCTTTCAGCTTGGTGTTTCCCGTCGTGGAACGGGTTCTGTTCAAGGACACCATTGAACTAGCGTATCGACCTTATACGGGCGATGTTCCTTCTTTGGAGCAGCTTAGTGCCAAGGTTGGCGTTTTAGCTTTCCTCTCAATGATAGTACTCTTCCAAGATACATTTGCAGATGCATTAAGTATCGACACAGACTTGTGTGCCACAAAGGCACGTTATCTACTCACAGATGTCCTTGAAATAGCCAGTATCAACAACCTACAAATAGTCTTCATGCTGGTAAGGACCTGTTCCGGAGATTCGACTCCAATCGAACTGACAAAACACTAGAACATGCATGAGATATTCTCTGGACGCCTTCGATCCGGTGCCATGTTCCATGCCATTGCGTGTCGCATGGTATTCACGCTTGGAGGTCATACGTACCTATCATGTAAGTCACGAAGCTCGCAAATTACACGATCAGAGAGGGAACGACGCCAACTTCGCATGCTATTCTGGCTATGCTATATCTTCGATAAAGACATTGCTCTACGGACAGGGCAACCGCCGCTCATGTCCGACGAATATTGCGATCTCACCCTTCCAGAGACCTATTTCGACTGCTATGAATACCTTCCCAAACTCAATGAAAGCCTCCCCCAAGTGTCCTTCGAAGAAGAGAGTCTCATGCCTCACCTTCCGGGCGACCCTCGCCTGAGCCAACTCAAAGACAAAACTAGTCGTCTGCTATATTCGGCTCAGGCTGCTAAGAAGTCTCACGCACAGCTGCTTTGTGACATTCGAGAGCTTGATGAAGAGCTCGAAGAATGGAGGCAGTCCGTACCTCCTTCATTCCGTCCCGCGCTCTCAATCACCAATGAGTCTCAAGTCGCTCTTGAAGGGATGCATCTTCCACGCAGTATGAGACACATCACTCTGCATTTGGACTATCATCATCTCATGATTGCAATACACCGAGCAAGTGGCAGGTGTATGGGGCCTGATCCTGGAAACCCTAACGACCAACCCGAATGGGTCCCTGGAGTCGAATCGAGCAATGCTCTTGCGCTGGAAGCTAGTCGGTCGACACTCGTGTATCTGCGGGCAGCGATGTGTGGGGTTGCTGGTGAAGCATTCTGGTAAGAACAGTTGGCGCACACCGAATCCAGCTCAGTGACTAACTCTTGTGTAGGGTTATTGTCTTCTATCCCACAGCAGCCATGATCACTCTCTTCTTCAACATCCTGCAGTATCCACTCCATGAACGGGCTGAGCAAGACCTTGAGCTTCTCAAAGCAGCCGCTGATCTAATCAACAATCTCCCCGTGCGGCGACTGACCACTTCCGAAGTCTCACATATGAAACTTATCAATGACTTTGTTGTTGAGCTAGTCCGCCTTGGAAGGAGTGCAATCTGCAAAGCAAGCATGGAAAGGGATCACGAGCTTGACAGACAGTTAATGATTATACACTAAGAGCCTGTATTTGTATTTTGTAAATTGGTTAAGTTTGGGGGCGGGTGTTGGGTATACCACAATGGATTCAATAGAGGGGATATAGATTGATTCAAGGGCTTTTCAATATACTAATGACACAGGAGGGAACGGGAATTGGAGAAATTTGCGATAATTCAGAATCCTGTTCCATTTACTAATGGCGGGTGAGAAACTCTTAGTGCATAATTATGCAGACCTCATCTCTGGCTAGACGGCCTCACACGCCTACAAACATTAACACGCAATGATCAACGGAGCAACATGAAGATATGCACTTGGACAATCCCACGGCCTCATCAAGCCGATTCGAAGCTCAGATAACGTTAAGGCTGTGCATATGTTACTTAATGTCTTACCCTGCACGGCGTTGTGGAGCGGTGGTCGTTGAAATAGGGACCTGAGCCTGCAATACATATTGTAGAGTTAAGTGAATGGAATATATTTGAACGAATGAAGGAATTATGTCGCAATTGATGGTACTATAATCTTTTAAGCACATAGTTGTACTATGTGAAAGTTTAATCTCTGTCGAGATGTCAAGTGTTGAACGTGAACTCTAGAGACATTCAGGTTCAGTGGGTGGAGCCACTAACTTAAATGGATAAGTTGGCTATTGCAACTTATACAATTGATTGTAAGACCTCAGAGAACTCGACTGAGCTTGTAGTATTCAAAAGTTCCCATGGGTCTCGTTGCCGTGAACAAGAAAGGAAGTTCGGGGCGCAACGTCCAACTCCGATGCGCGTCATTTAGCGACGGAATCGCACCAATTGTCTCGGACAAACTTGTCTTCCGCGCCCTTCAATGACTCATTCCCTGTATGACAAATGATTTATTGAAGCCTCAATAACTAACTCTATGTTTTTGAGATTCTCTTCTCCGACTCTGAATATTATATTCTTGATGCTATAGAACTTTGAGTTTTAGATACAAAAGAGAATCAGATATGCCGTCAGCAACTCGTCAAGATCAGCTCGTGTTAGTCCCTTGGGACCCCAACTCTCCAGAACATGTCAACCGCATTTATGCACAACGAGTTCAATGCGGTTGGGATAAGCAATTAGTTGATGGATGGAAAGAGAGACAAGTCTCGGGCCGAAAGTCCATTTTCTGGATCGTGAGTTTCCCTAAGAATCGATTCACAATAGCAGAAGTTTAACATTGAATAGACACTGCGACCAGATGACCCCGAAACTCGCGAAACACTTCAACTGCACTTAGATACATACCCTGAAGTTAGCTTATGAAACTGATAAATACCTACCACTACTGACGTCTCTCAGGACAAGGCACCATTGGTTGACACAGCCGAAAGCCTCAGAGCCAAGCCCCGAAAACCGACACATAACAAGTTCTATCCCGTGGGCCACATCTCACTCGATGACAGAAATGAGAAAACAGGAAACTTTGTATTAGACCTTCCCACAGAAGGTGTCTACTGGATCAAGACCTTCTACGTCTCAAAAGCACTTCGAAGCAAAGGCATCGGGCGAGCAGCTATGGACATCGTCGAGTCAATGGCAATTGAGGAGCCGCTATGTGCCAAAACCCTTGCCCTTGATACCGCTGAGAAGGAGATGCAGAAGAAGTTGTATAGAGAAAAGAACGGAAAGGAGTTGGGCGTAAGTCTTGGCCGTTGTGAATGTTTGCCATTTACAAAGCTGACACGTTTTAGTCAACTAACCAGGATTGGTACGAACGGCGAGGATATAGGCTAATCCACATGCAGCCTGGCCATTACTTAGATGATGAGGAACCTCCTGTCGATGCTGTGTTCCTACGAAGAGACATTGCATAGGCTTCAGAAAAGTTTGGTGGTTGAGATGGTCTGTGATCTTGTTCGAGCATAGAGTACTTGGTGAACGACTACCAAATAATAGGATTTGAGCTTGATAAACAGTGACAAATGGAATGGATAAGTGGGCAACGAAATATGCTAAATACTGACTCAAACGACCATCAAACAAGATCGCACCTGAATAAGCATAAATCATGCCCCAGTCACACTTAATTCCCAACATGTATTTCCCCCCATCGCAATAAGACATCTCCATCCATTCAGGGTCCTCCCAGCATCGGATATCCGAAGGACCATCCTCACAAGCCAAACTACCTACAATGTTAGAAGTACCAGAATAAACGCACCCTTTGGCTCCGTGGGCCTCGAACGCAGGAAGGTCGGTAGGAAACTCCAAGTTATTTTCGTCTCCATTTGCGGGAGCCTTTGATAGGATTTCTGCAATGCAAAAGTCCTTGATCGGGTCTTCAGGCGTATCCTGGACAACTATCCATTGAGGGCCAGCCGCTGTTTGCATCAGCACGATGCGAACACGGTTGTGGCGAGGATTCGCATCGGCCAACCAGCCCCTCACTTGGCGGTTATAGTCCTCGGGGTAGTAGCTCTCGTCCATAAACCATGCACTAGAGTTGAAAGGGACGACGTTGACCTTATCCCCAAGACCATCTTCGTCATCGGGGGCCTGGCATTCACCTTGATCTTCGGGGCCGACTATGGTTGTCCTTCCTTCTCGATCGATGATGATGTTACCCGTCATGAAGACATCGGGATTGTCCTGTACTCCCTCGAGTGTTACTGCCAGTGGAAGATGGGGGTATTTGCCAGCAGCCTTCTGTACAGTTTTGGCCATAGCGTACATTGCAAAGTTATCTGCATTTCTCTTCAGCCACCAAGGTCCACCAAGTTTGAACTTGGCCAGGCCTTTAGTTAGCTGCGGACCATAAATGGGCAGGTGAAAAGGTTTACGATCTTGACCCATTAGTATACAGATAAGATCAGTGATATGGTATGGCGAGTCCACTCCAGAAGCCCAGTCGATATGTAATAACTCGTGGAACCAAACGCGACCTAGAGATACTGTTGGAATATTCATTGCAGGAATTGGTGAATAATTATTCAGGCCGACCTTTGTTCTTGTAATAGTTGTTGAGGTTCGCACGATGCTCAATAGGCAAGTCTTTATTACTGTTGTCTTTGACATTAGACCTGTAGCCTGCTTTCAACTTAGCACGTTGAACACGATCCACTGGAACGAGCATCCTGGACTTGTGGGAAACCAAGATTAACCTTCCAATTGTCAGCAGATATGCTACGGCATGGTGTGAAATATACACAACTCGGGATATCCACGTTCACCGGGGTTATGCTTGTCTATTTCAACTGACTGATGTGTATTTTGCGCTTTGCCATGACTCGGAATCCTTTCTATGCTCATACAGCTATAAATAACAACCAACAGATAAGATTTGAAAGATGTGACTTGATGGGAGCCCTGATAGGAATCGAATGATCTTGAAGGTTGGTTAATCCAGCGTCAAAATGTCATAATCTTGGACTGTTCAATATACACAAGACCACCTCATACTTTACGCACAGACATGAGCCAACAACAACAACCAACAGTCTCTGGACGACGGGAGCTCGTTCAATGCATTTAATTCGCCAGAATTTCCGAGAGAGAGCGGCCGACAGGAACTTCTGAAACAATCCTACTCCGGCAATGTCCGGAGGGCTCGGATGATACTACTTCTAATGCTTCGTATTACAAAAGTGATACAGGAAAAGTCGACCTTGTTGGTTGCGCAATAGCGCTCAGCTCCCTCATGTTACTCATATGAAGGAGTGCATAATGCAGGGAAAAGTTTCATCGATCACATAGTGATACGTCAGTCGCATACGCTTTGATATCTATCCCGGTTGGGCGATAACTCGTGGTGTTGTGATGAAGAAATCCCTCAAGACATCCATGGCAATGCCTGGTGGCAGCAGGATCCGGCGATCGGAACATCTACTATTCCATAAGTACAGTATACGTAGGTAGCATAAAACACCCCTCTCTAGGCACCAATATGCCAAAAATCGAAACACACATCTATCCACTTATGTCTTTGCGTATCGAGAAACTGCCCAATGTTCACATACACGACTCTGATTTCTCTCTTAGCTTGTCTCCTTCTTGTTATTGCTTGCACCTTCTATCAATCTGATCAAAACATATTCCTGGAAACTGGGGAACTCAATCTTAGAATGTCTGACAGCCTGTCAGAAGGTGGTTTTCATGGCACATTTGGAGTTACATCGTTTCCCCGGTGTCAATTTGGGGGTAGATTCGGCGGTATAGCGACTGGCTGGCCTGCAAAGGGCGGCTACTACAGCCATTTATGCTCAGTAGCAGAGCTGGAGTTCCTTGGTCTCGATCGATTCAAGCCCGCCAACAAGTCAGACGAGCCCGACAAGGAGGAGGCTCACTGTGCCAAAATGCGTCAGCCTGGAGCCAAATGGTACCGCGACCCTTTCCACCAACTTTCAGAGCAAGACAAGAAAAACGATCTTGATGCTCCCCGCTTGTTCGTGGGCTAGCCGGCCGACGGCGGTGTTTGGGCTATACATACTACATTGGTTGACTCCGATGAGAGAGGCCTGGGAAGGATCGGCAACGCCTTTACTATGTCAGAGCGTTGTGAAGTAATCAAACAACTTGGCGGCTCATTTTATAAAGATCCCAAGGATTGCTCCTTTCTTGATCTCGATGGTTCCAAGGATGAAAAGAAGCAAGAAGATCTTGGGCAATTGTGTTAGGTAGCTGGTATACTGCCTGAACTGATTTGATAAGAGTGCTATTTTGAGTTAACAGACCCCACTGCTGATACTTACATCACGCGCCTCACACGAAGCAAGGAGAAAGAAGCAGTGCTACGGCATCTTCCAGTACGAGAACGAAAATGGCTGGGAGTGACGATGGAGATAGAACTGTCAGACTTACGAATGGATGAGTGAACTTCGGAATATTGAGCCTTCTGCTGAACGGATTGGTACGGCATGGCTTTAGTTATAACATCCTGAATCTGATACTAAGCTATTCTGTCATATATGAGTAAGCTGCGATCTCCTATGTCTAACAATTTAAATTCAGAGTCTCCTCTCATCTCGTTTTGCGACTCTGTCACTCCTCTGTCGTTGCTGGGACTAATGACCCTGGGGAAGCTCATAAGCCCATTCAGATTTGCCAGCCCACAAGGGGAAGGAGTTTGGATCGTGCTGATAATGATCGTCAGGTAGAAATCGGTCAACCTTGGACTGAACACAGCCTTGCTTTTGTACCTTGCGTCTCTCGAACCGATCCTTGATCCAATCCATCCAAATCGACCTGGTTGCATACATACCAGGAAAGTGACCAACTCCAGGAACACCCAAGAACTCTAAATCACCAGGATACTTCTCGCAAGTAACCTTTGAAGTAGCCAATGATGCGTTGTAATGCACCGCTGGGTCTTTGTCGCCATGAATGACAAGCATAGGTCCTTTCCAAGGCCTCTCACCAGGGTTAACGATTTGTTTGAGAGCAGCCACAAACCAAGTGTTCATCCAGTCAGGCTGGACAACCTCCTCTTTGGGGGTGAAGAGAAAGCTGCTGACGCTTTGAGAACCCTCAACCTGGTTGAAGAGAGTCACTCGGTCGACACCCAAAGTTGTAAGCCAGTCACTGAGTTTGAACTCAGGATAGACTTGGTTCAAATATTTACCAACCCAGGTAGTAATAGAAGCAGCTGGCAACGAGAATGCATCTGTGGGTGGGGCAAAAAGAAGAGTGCCTAGATGACCCTTGACAAGATCCTTGAATCTTCCCTTTTTTCCGGCAAGAAGCTCAGAGACTCCCCACCCAACAGCACCTCCCTGGCTATGACCAACATTTACATAATCAGTTGTCAAACGCTCTGGAAACGCGGTCAAAGCAGCTCTCAGGGCATTGAGAGAATCTGCTCCACCAGCCTGGTAGATGCCATATTGGTGAGGAATGGCAGTCCCATCCCATGAGGTACCAACGCCGAGACCCGCGTAGTCAGGGGCCACAACAGCGTATCCTGCCAGAACCAAGGCATATGGTACGAAGTCCTGTAGAAGAGACTGCGGTGAGTAGATGGTGCGGCGGTGGGATACCATCCAGATGTACCGTGAGTCCAAAGCACAGTTGGCGCCTTTCCGTCAGAAACGCCCCTTACTTTCTTGGTGGTATATGGCCAAAGGATGTAAGCAGAGGCGGGGATAAGGGTACCATTGAAGTTTGTCGTCGAGTAGAGGAAACGAGACATTGTAGTTGAAGCAAGGATTGTGTATGGCTTTGGATCCGTGATTTCTTGGAGCTTGATAAGCTCACCCGGAAGCCTGGGGATCTGCAGACCAGGGGGGAGCGAGTAAAAGTCATCTTGGTGAGGACCACCATTTGCGAGTAGAGTACGGTCAAAGTTGATGATGTTGTTGATTTGCGCGCCTTCGTCAATGGTCAAGTTACCAAGACTAAGTTGCTCATGCGAGAGTTTGAATGTTGAGTTCCATGATGTTGTATGTATAGCGGCCTGTAGATCTTGGCTAGCTGCGAAGCTACAAAGGCCGCAAAGGTAAGAAAGGTAGTTTTAGGGAACATTGCGGTGAAAAGCTTCGGGTGGTTGATATTTTGGCTTGAAAGAGGGATTCTGAACGAGCTTATATGTATTTTAGAGACTATTGTGCTTCCATGTTTCAACAGCCACGTCCTTCAGTACGTCTTTAAATACGCCTCAATCACCACTATGTCACTAAAGGTATTACTGGCTGTGAGGCTTCAATGAGACGTCCGTTTGTGAATGGGAACCTGGTTTGTCTGTCAGAATATAGACGTGTCTGCAAACCCAAGGGCAATTGCGTATTCCTGCGTATTGCAGTAGGTAAGCCTTTGGTGAATACGCAGGTGGAATAAGTTTCGCCGATTTGGCACCGAGACTGATTATTCAGTAACTGAACGTAGTGATACATGACGAAAGACGTCGTAGGAGCTATTCATAGTTAAATTTGCTTACATCGAGAAATCCAGAAGCTAGGTTCGGCATGTGCTATCGACTCGATACCGGCACGGTCAGTGTAAAGTTCTGGACCACTCTTGAATCAGGATAATCGAGAATCAGGTCTACGCCTAGAAAGCCCCTTATAAGCCAATAGCTACGGGCTGGAGTCAATGGAGAAGGGCTGCCTATACGCAATGGGTTCTGATACCTTATCAAAAACTGTAACTCGGTACAGGTACAGAGACAAGTAGTTGTTTATTCTGACGATTGAATAGACTCGAAAATTTAAGGAACTTATTCAACGAGCTGAGATATAACACACACCACTGACTTGCATGAAGAATTGTATACTACGACCCAAGATATGTACAGCATTTTGAAATTTGAGGGCTATTCTACAGATTGTGTCTCAAGAGACATTTATATTTGGGTCCAAGACATCTGACCCGGATATCATATTGGTCTGCGTGAGATAGATAGAATCCGAGACAGTTCTAGTCAAGAATCCTGACATTCCCAGCATATCAACACCTCCTCGCGCCCGCACCATTTTCATAACGCCAGCACCATGACTCCAGTATGCACTCATATCTCCTTCAAGGAACTGCGGTGATCAAATTAGTTTTTTGAAGAAGATAAAGAGTAATGCCAAACAGTAGAAAGGGGTGCTCACTGCTTCAGAGGCCATCAGCATAGCCAATGCAATAGTTGTATCTGTAGCGATAGCCTCTGACTCGATGGCGTCTTTAGCCATTTGGATGCACATTAGTCGATATTGAAGCTTTTTGACTGCAAATTTGCTCGATAGGCTGTTATTTGTGGTGGCGACGTAATTCCGGCATGCCACGTGAAAGACGGCGGCCATGAGACTGAGTTTAGACATTGCATTGGGCACCCAGATATGCCTCATGAGGTAAGTAAAGTTCCGCTCATCATCTTGGGCATAGCATGCTGTGTATCCGTAAGAAATCACGTAGTTTAGATCTATGATACAACATATTAGTCGGTTCAGTTGATTGGAAGTTGGAGAGGATAGACTGACAGAAATCAAAGAGATAGTGCTCATCATCTGAAAGTTGTCTTGCAAATCCTGTGTATGCGTCACTGCAAGCACCGCCAATCAACTGAATTGGGCTTGGTGGTCGATTTGCGGTCTGCTCATGTACCTTTGCTTTAGGTATGATCTTTCGGTATCGCGTATTGCTTGCCAGGTCAACAAGCGATCTCAATTCTGTCTCAGCTTGAAAGTTTTCAGGGTCATCTCCCTCCAGAGAATCTTTATCTTGCTTCTTTTCCTTCTGCAGAGCACGAGAGAGTTTTGCTGCGTGTGATCTTATCAATTTGATACTCTTTGCATTGGTGATCTCGTCTGGATGAGCCGAGTTGATGAATTGCAGTGTTCCAGGTTGAAACTTTGGTTGTTTTTCGACTGATCGGTTTTTTGGTAATCTGCCGCGACCTCTTCTTCTAACAAGCGTCGTTTGTCTTTGAGCAACTGATTGATATTCCAAGTCTTGAGAACAATTCTCCATTGTTGATGAGCTAATACGAGGATGACAAAGATAAAAGAAGTGAAGGGAATGTCAGAACTGGTCTTGGTCTTTTCAACATGGATCTGACTCAACGGGGATCAAAGCCGATCGTCAGCTGATAGCGTATCACTATTAGGCTAATTAATAAGCTCACAGATAAGCCATGACAACCATGTACGAGCATCTGCAATGAAACCTGCCTACTTGCCATCCAGTCTCTTCGTTTTGATCAAGTAATCCACTACTTCTGTAACACTCGACTCCAAACTGATCCAACCACGCCCAGCCCATTTCTGCAGGAGACCAAGAGCAATGTCGTTCTCAATATTGTACATCAATTTCGGGTCACCAGAAATAAAGTTATCAACGAAGCTGCGATTCGGGTAAGACTTTCGTAGGATATCCAGGCAGTCGTTCCATGTGAAGGATGGTGCGAGAACTTGAATGCGTTGACCTTGTACGCCGGGGTCGATTGCGGCGGCGACATGAATAATCGCGACATCGGTGACGTGGCTATGATACACTTCTCATAGTTAGTCTCAAGTATCATTAATGGAGACAATACTTACTAGCAGGAGTTTGCAGCTTTTCAGTATTGCTCAAATACAGCTGTTCAATGAGCTGAGGCGGTACGGACCGCAGATGTTTATCATCTCGGAGGTCTCCCAGAATAACACAAGGACTAACCGAGTTGACTACCCAGGGGAGTAGGGCTTAAAATACCCGACCCATGGGTACCCATACCCGCCCACAGATAGATCTGGGTACCTACGGGTAGGCAGGTTAGTAAACTATACCTATATAAGTACCTAAAACCTACCCTATTCTATTAATAGTTACCTAATAAATACCTAAATAGCTTAAATAAATTATATAAAATATTTTAAAAAATATATTATAAATCTATATAATTATATATATATATATAACTTTTATTATAATTATTTTATCTATAAATTACTATTTTATTTTCTATTTTAATCTCTTTTTAATACCCAGAAAAAACCATTCTGTTTTAAGGTACTTATAGTGGGTAATTTTTCCTGATTTACCTAATTAGGTTACCTAGTTATGCCTATAGGGCCTAGTTAGGTGGGTTAATATCTGGGTACCCGTGGGAATTTTAAGCCCTACAGGGGAGTCTCTTATCTTTGACAAACTTCCAGACAGCCTTTTCTGCCTCAACCTTGGCTGCGAAATACACCGGCATAATACGATCTGATTCATAAGGAGGAGGGGCCCAAGCAGCTTGAATCGCAGCTTCGTTCCAGGTGTCGAGGTTTGTAATGGTGTCACCGACGCCAGGAACTGGAAAGGTAGCAGCCCAAAAGGTCGAAGTGAAGACAAACCGCTTCACGGATGGCTCCTTTGCTGCTGATCGACAAACAGACAAGGCTGATTCTATGGTGGCTGGAATAGCAACATTGGGATCAGGAACCAGGTCTCCAATGACTGCAACATGTATGACAGCCGCGACACCCCGTACGGCTCTATCGAAGTCGTGGGGTTTGGTCGTATCAGCAACTATAAGCTCGATATGGCCGCGTTCGGCATATTTGTAAACAAAGCTATCCTCAAGTAGCCACTGGCTGGATTCCAAGTCTCTAACAGTGCCGCGGACCTTGAAGTCTCTCTTCAAGAGTTCGAAGACGATATGACTCCCAGTGTGACCGTTTGCGGCTGTCACAAGAACCCAGGAGCCTTTGGGGATAGCCATTTGATGTTCAGACATTGTGGCAGGAATATGAGTGATAAAGAAAGGGGGAAGATTGCGAGTTAGTGAAAGGTGAATCAGGCTGGATTGCAGCAGTTAAAGACTGCTTTATATCCATATTTCATATGGATCGTTGGCATACAAGCCGGCACAGCCAGTCTGCGAAGTCAACACATAACAGCAAGTAACGAGAAGTTCCTGCCAGTCAGAATTGTGTTTCATTCAGTGACAAATACTTATTCTTATAATGTGTTACCATTGTCTTGATGCTAACTTAAATGATAAACCAAGTTGCTGGCCACAGCGTTCGGAAACCAATTAGATAACCTTAACAAGCCCGAGAGCCCCGAGCATATTCCTTTTCTGAACTAGTCTGTCAGAATATTTGTGACTAACTGCGAGGCCATATATGCGTAAGCGGTGAACACAACCGGGTTTCATCACTAACCAGACTCGGTTCGTCTCATCCCCAACTCTTTGGTCGGCATCTTCCGTCTCTCAAGCATTAGAGTAACATACATAATTTTTATTCATATTTTGTCGTAGTTTACGATTATCGCCGGTGCTTCCGCGTCTTGCCTGACTACGTCGAAGACATCAGCAAGGCTTCATCTTCAAGGGTGGCGGAGAAAACGGTTAGTTTGGCTATATTTCATTGTAAGGCTTGTATTGGTGCAGCAACATCTACATAGCCGCAATGATCCGTAAGATCTAGAGCGTTTGATCCTCCTTCGTGAGACTTTGATCCTGATACTGTCTATATCTTCTCATGATACCCGATGACCTTAAGAAGTTTAAAACTTCAAAGACGTCCTGAGTCTCACTGATAAATGGCATTTATCTCTACAATAGATTCTAGGGACATTCTTATAAGGGGCATTTGACATCTTGGGACAAATTCGTCAAATATATCATGTTTCTGACATTATTGGTGGCATAATGTATGTTCTGGGTGCCGTGGTGATTTTGATCACCTTCACTGGCATGGACCCCAGTGTGTTTAGATAACGATTGTGGTACAGGTTCCTCTAATTTCGAATTGGAAAGGTTATGGTGAGCACAACAGTGGAAAATATTATTAGATAACTGTATGGCGCGCAATGCCTGTCGTGTGCCAGGACTCCGTGCATCAGAAGGAAAGTGAAAAAGCCTCGACTGATAATTTGCAAGAGGTCATGCATGGTCTACAATCTGTGTATTGTGAATCAGGCCCATGCATTAAAGAAACGAACAGCTTGATAGAATGCTTCGTCTTTGGCAAAGACCTGCTGTGGGTTTGATGCATTTGCACGAACAGCAAAACCATGAGTAGTTCCACTGTACAGAACCGAAGTGAAAGGCTTGCCTATTTTAGTGAGGATGGCTCCAGTCTCCGCTTGTCTAGGCTGTGGGAAGATCTGGTCCTCGGCTATATCCGTATCAGCTTTTGATTTTTCTGTTATCGTTATTAGAGGCTGAAACTGACCTGCACCAGCGACGGAAACGGGCTTTCTAACAGCCTCAATCTCATCAGTAGCCAAAAGACTGGGATGAGCAGTGAAGCCAACATCGACTTTCCCGTTTTGGCCGAGTGAGCGAAAGACGTAGCGTCCACCGTAGCAATAGCCTGTTGCAGCGACGGAGTTCACGTTGAGCTCATTGCGTAGGTAGTTGATTGCCTTTGTAACAATCGGGTCAGTGACACTGGGAGGATGTTTGGCAAGGAACTCGGTGATGTTGAAGTCTGGAGTTTCTTTCGCAGGATCACCTCCGAACAAGTCTGGTGCAACCGTAAAGAAACCCTGTTTGGCAAAGTCATCGACCAATCTGCATTGGTTAGTAAAGAAAAGCAATAGTGGGTGGACAATCCCTACCCTCGGTTCTCCTTCAACTGGATGCCGTAGACATCGGTGAGAAGAAGAACACCAGTTCTTTTCCCGGGCTTTTTGTGGCCAAGGTTAAACCTCCCGGGCTTGGATACATATAGATTCACTAGGAATAGTCAATTGAGCACTCTGGCAACACTATGTGTGAAGGAATACTGACATCCTTGGTATCTCACAGTCTCGCCCTTCACATGTTGAGTAGCTGCCGAATCTTCCGCCGCCATCACGCCACTCGGGGCAATAGAGGTGAGGAGAGACAGAAAGACGGCAATAGGCTGGAAGAACTTCATTATGATCACTTGCAAGGTCGGAAGATGTTGAAGCAGAACGGTAGGTAACAAGGAGGAGGGGAATAAATACAGTGGTTTAGGATAGGTGTTGCTTACGAATAAACTAGTAATTATCAGGCTAAAAAGCGCTTGACTGTCGTCATTATGCTTGTTATGATGTTGACGTTCCTGGATTGGACGGCATTATTATGCTTCAAAGTCCGTGACGACGTTGGAGCGGGGGTGGCAGGGGAATATGCTTATTCGATACAACCTTATTTCAAGGCAAATGCCGCGCTTTGTCTGGTTTCTAGTTACCTCGCCGACTAAAAAAGGAAACTGGCCGATGAACTGAAATGCAACGAAATGTCTGGTTCCTACGGGCACCTACCTATATGTAGCCTGTTCAAATTACTCAATGTCTAATTCGTGGCGTCAAGAGTCTCTAGCTATGGCTTATATAAAGTCTGACAGTCTTAAATAATAAGGTCTATAGTAAATGCAAAGTTCAAAAAGACCAACATCATAGTCTAGGACTTCTCGTATCGCAAACATGTCAAGACTGTACTGCCAATACTCCTTACGAAGACCTGCTGAAGAATGAGCCACTATAGGGTTTCTTTGTGACTCTTTTCTCCAACAGTGGGGCGCTGGCGCAACGGTAGCGCGTCAGATTCCAGCTATTAAGAAGCACGGAGATTCCTGAAGGTTATCGGTTCAAATCCGGTGTGCCTCATATGTTTTTCTTTTCGTTCTTGTCACGAACCTCTTTTTGACTCCATCAGTTTTATTAACACCATCACTCGGGTTGAAGTTAAAGTCAGGACGGCAAAATTAAGCTTAGGTAGTAGATAGGCCAACCACATGAGCGATTCGATGCCCCTGCCCCACTCACTACCCAATTAGGCAACTGATCAAGGCCTCTCCGTCAATCTCGGGGCAACAACTATTTCACTTGCAGACATTGGAACTAGGTAAACAGGATATATTTTTATGAGTCAATTCTCCAAAGCACGTGTCCTTTTCCATGGGACTGCTGAGCTGGGGAAAAAGAGCTACTTCCAGAACTAAGAATATACAATAAACATCTGTTGCCTTCACTCGGATCGTCAAGGCAAGGGGATAGACTGCTTGTGACCAGTAAACAGGCCCTCAGGATCAATCTTGGCCTTGATCTTCTTGAGTCTCTCAAAGTTTGCACCATAGAGACGTGAACTCCACTCCTTTTCAGTAAGCTCGGTATCAGCATAGTTGACAAAGCCACGGAGTTTAGAGCCGCCCTTGACAAGAGCATCTTCGAATGGCTTCATAAGACCTCTCAGGTAAGGAATGGCGTCGGCAGGGAAGGAGAAGGGGTTGACAGAGTTGGCATCCCAGCGGATCAACCACAGGTTTCTGCCATGAGCATAACCTGTATCGCTATCCTTGATGTTGCGGGAGACACCACCCCAGAGATCAAGGTAGGCGAACTTTGTCAGGTCAGTTCGGTTAAAGGCCAGGGTTGTGCTCTCAAAGAGAATCTGAGCTTGTTCAAGAGTGAGAGGGTGGTCGGTCGTAGTGGTGAGGGATTGGGTGTAGAATGCTCGGCCACCAAGAAATCCCCCCTCGGGCTGGTTCATGCCAGCACCAGCGACGGCGACTTCAAGGTCCCACCAGGGAAGGACAGTCTTCTTGACCTCGACGGCGGATTTGATGGTCTTGAGCTTATTAACGAGAGGACGAATCACATCGTCAAAGCTGTCGGGGTTGCCATAGAAGTATCCAGTACCATCGTAAGGAGGAGCCATCAAGCTCCATCGGAAGGCAAAGGTATCAGGGCAGTCCTTGCTGGTGGCGTAGTCCTGAATAGCCACGAGAGCCCTAGCGCCGTCTCTAGGGCTGAGATCGCCCATGGAGAGGGTGAAGTTGATGGCCTTGTCGAACTCAGGCTTGAAGGTCTTGGTAGTCATGGAGAGAATGATACCATAGGAAGCTCCAGCACCTTTAGCAGCCCAAAGAAGCTCAGAACCCTTTCCAGCCTTGACAACGGTGCCGTTGTACAGCATGTACTCAACCTCGACAATGTTATCCATGGGAGTGCCAAGATACCGTGAGGTGGTACCAAAGCCGCCTCCGATGCTGGATCCAGTGACACCGACGTGGGAACCACGAACGTGAGGAACATGGCGTCCAGCAGTATCCCAAAGATACTTGGCAACCGGTCCAACATGGGTGCCGCCACCGAAGGTCATGAGGGTGGTCTTTGAGTCATACTTGACGTCGTCAAACGCAGCCATGTTGATGACCAAGTTCCCAGGCTTTCCGAAGCCATTCCCTTGGAACGAGTGTGCAGGACCAAGGGCATTCGCATTGACATCAGCCTCTCGCGCACATTCTAGCACAAGGGCGACTTGATCGCGAGATTCAGGGAAGGCAATTGCAGCAGGCTGGGGACGGATACGTTTCTGGAACTGAGTTGTCTCTGCAGCCCATTGACTGTCAGACTCGATGACGTTTCTCACGCCAGCCTTGTCCAGACATTTGGTCAGTTCCTCAGCCTTGTTCTGAGCAAAAGCCAGGGAGAAGAGAGAGGCGAAGACAAAACGTCGTAGAGATGCCATGATTGCAGAGCTGATAAAGATCAACGCTTGAGAGAATGGTGTTAACTCATATGGGCTTTTGTATTGTATTTATGACCGATTGCCCCTGTTTGACTTTGAGCAGGTTGAGGTAATACACGGGATTAAGCTTCGGCCCTTGGTAGTGGTTGGCTGCAGGGGGTAAACCTACAAACCCTGTCATAGCCCATCTTCGCTTCAACAGGCTAAAATGCAACGTTCCTACAGCACGGTTATCACTGTGATATAATCCTTCAGCAACAACTTCCATCCTATTATGGAAAGGT